ACGACTTTGACAACGGAGCCCAAATCTATATATTTCTGTAAAACATAAACTAATAAACTTATATAGCAATAACCTTTTCTAACCTAATACTTTTCTGAATGAAAGTAATATCATAAATGAGAGAAAAACTTCTTGCATAATTGATATATAATTTTGACTGAAAACTCAGAAGTCTAAACAAAGTTCTACACCACTTTTCAAATCAATGCAGAACACTAAAAATATTTCATTGTCAAACCGATGTTACCACAATCTCAAATTCGTATATATACAGTGTTAAAAGGACAAATTGACCAAATTCCACAATGCTTACCCAAGCAACGACACTGACAACAACAGCGAAATAACCAACCTTGGCACACCGCAAAACGCTTAAATTACCCAAAAGACATTTGAGCTTAAGTTGTGCGCATATTTTTGTTTTTCGACTACTCGGCCTTATTGCAACTGGCAGACTTCGTTCGCTCTCATTGTCAGTTGGTGTTAGCAATTGCCAGCCATTTTATGCGAAGAGTTTTTGTTGCAATTTAAAAGTTGTTAGTTGCTGGTGGAAAGTTGCAACTGCCAACAGCAGCTCTATTTACCAGCAGAAGATTCAGTGACTCTGTTACTTTTTCACTTTTTGTTTTGGAAACTTTTATCAATTTGACCTCAATATTACATATTGTAGGTAAACTCGACTAAATTTACGAGTTGTTGGCAGTCGAAAGAGATTGTTTGCCCAACGAATGGTCGCGAGTGTAGGAAATGGTACTTATATACGTACATATATATTTTGTAGTCATAAAACATTTTTAATCTATTTAATGTTACAACAACAAGAATAAAATTGCCATTTTAAATGTTGGAGAGAAATGAAAGACTCGCGAAAAATATAAATGTTATAAATGTTACTAATATGTATTTAATATAAAATTATGATGGTTAAAAGAAAAACAGTTGATGTTTTTCAGGTAAGAATAGAAATCAAAAGAGGGTATTTTACGTGCAACGTTTAAAGGGATTCTAATGAGGGAGCTTTTTGGGTCTCTCTTTAATAGCATATGTACAGCGGCGAGCATATGTGAAGATAAATATTGGTGCGCTAAAGATTATAAGAAGGTTTTTTGGTCAGATCGGAACGGCTTTTAGTCTGATAGAAAGATCTATTACTGGCAGCAACATCGTAAAAAGTAAAACTCAAAAAATTAAAAAAACATGAAGTCCGTGAAACAATGCAGCCGGAGGAGGCAGCTTGATCGTTTGTGGTCGGATTTCACATATAGATAGTTAAAAATTGGCTTGATGATCAAAGTTTTCACTTTATTCATTTTATTATTAGATGGCACAATATTACATATATTAAATAATATAATACAAGGATAAAAGATATCGGTATATCAAAGAGTGATTTAGAGGCAAATGCTTAAAGTTTTGTCCCCACATCGGCTGATAGAAAATATATTGGATATATAACTATATTCGTTAGGTTTGCAAAGAGATGGCTTAACTTTAATATTATTCCATTGTTCCTATGTTTCTAACATACGTTGGAAAGCTACTGTCTGTGTGCATCCTTTTCAGTTTATGTCATTGATTTGAAGCTTTGTGTCTGAAGAAGTGGTTTGGTTCGGAGTTCTTCTTCAATACTTTAATACTTGTATGAAGAAAATCTCAGCCGAAAATCATCGTATTTTGGTATAAGTTTGAACAAGCTCGAGCTGAGCGAATGTGCGCAAAGTGAATTGCACGATTTAAAAATGATGCTTTTGGCTTGAAAGACAAATAACATCCTGGTCGATTAAAAAAGTTTTATAAGGAACTGGAAGCATTACTCTGTTGCCAAACACAAGAAGACCTTCTATAATCTTTGCAAGACACCCGAGCAGCCATTTCAAAACGTTTAAAAACAGCCGGATATATTCAAATACAAGAAAATTGAGTGATATCTGAATTAAAGCCAATAGGTAATAAAAGATGATGTTGCTTGTCACAAATGGTGCTTGAACACTACAAAAAGAAGTCAGTTTTGCGTCGAATTATGCGTGGTGATGAAAAATGGATCCATTATTACAAGCCTAAATGCAATGAATCATATGTGAAACTTGGCCAACCAGCCAAATTAACGGTTAAGCCGAATATCCTTGACGCCACGGTAATGCTCTTTATTTGGTACGATCCGAAGGACGTGCTATATTATGAGCTTCTGCAGTTGAAACCATAAATGGAGAACGCTACCAACAACAACTAATCAAATTAAAGCGAGATTGATTTGTCAAAAAAATGCCCGGAATTGGCGAATATATATGAAGCAATTATTTTCCATTATAAAAGCGCTCGGCCTCATGTTGTAAGACCGGTTAAAAACTATTTAGAAAACAACGGCTGAAAAGTTTTGCTTCACTCGCCTTATAGCCGAGACCATGCACCTTCTGACTACCATTTGTTGCGGTCGATGCAGAACGCTCTCATTCATCAAATTATCGGCTTGATGCATTCTTGGCTGCCAAGCCGACACAGGGCAGGAATCCACAAATTGCTAGAAAGATGGGAAAGCTTCAGATGGCCAATATTTTGAATAATACTATTGTACATGTTTTTCTTAAATAAACGTCCAATTAAAAAAAAAAAGACCGCACGAATAACGTTATAGAACCAATAACATTTCCTTATATGTTTATTTTGGTTAAATTTAACTATGGAAATATAAATACCTCATATACAATATAAGAATTGGATTAACATGTCCACACTCCCATTATTTTTTTAAGAATGATATAAGCAAAATTACAAAGATTACAAAAAATAACCCCTTAAGCATTATTGTAAAGCAGTACATTTCTTACAAAACTATGAGTTTTGCAATTAAAAATTATTTTTTTTTCACGGGGTCCTAAAATTCATATGAAAAAAATTGCTTTAAAATAATCAAACTTCAACCTTTAATATCTTTTAAACGGTTAGTCGGTATACGAATAAATCGTACGAGACTTTTTTTTTGAACATTCATTTTCCTACAAAACCTATGAAATTACACAAATAGCTGAAAGCGAGATTTGAATTTTTCTATCTGATGAAGAGCCCATACGCGAAAAGACCTTTTAAGAGGTGTTAATGTAACTATTATTCAGAGAATCAAGCGAAAAATAATATATTCGTTTTTTGATTTACCCTAATATAGATAGATTTAGTGGAGGTATGCACTGCGACCTATGGTCTATTGTGTCTTCCCCTAAGTCACAACGACTCATCTAGCCCCAGCATATTGATAAACACCAATATACTGCTAAGTGCTATTGAAGCGAAGCTATCTCTTTTTGGAAACATGTATCCCAGGGCCTAAACTCTGCGTTTGCAGACTGCAGTGCAGTCTACTAGCACGTGTTCTGGCGTTTCTGGCTCCATGTCACAGAACCGGCAGTTTGCAGAAGAGACTAAGCCCATGCTGAATAAATGTTTATGGAGTCTACAATGGCCGATGTAGAATGCCACAAGCAGCCGGAATTTGTTACTCGGGAGATTGATTACGGCATTATGGCGCATGACTTGGAGTTGCTCCAATATCTCTCCCTGCCTGCTCTTCCCTCCCTACGGAGCACCTCTTTAATGGTATGTGGACCAACCGCTACGTATGGTTCTGGTCCTATCATTTTTGTGGAGGCTGCAGAGCGCGTCAACTCGTCAGCCAGTTCATTCCCGTACCCTTATATACATACATATATCTTTTATAAAAGAACACTATCAAAACTTTTTCATTTCAAAGTACATACATATGTTCAGCGTTTTACAGTTTTATGACTTTATAAATCTTTTGCCAAAATATTGCATGTCTTTGTCATTTGAAAAGCGTCTAGTTAACGAAAAAGAAAACTTTTATAAAGAAGTGGGATGCTAAAATTTAACCCAAATTTGCCTTTCCTTCACAAAACCTGTTTGATTACAAATATTAATTCCGATCTAGAAAATTATGCACATTTCATCCTAAAAGATTCTATTTATATTCGCAATCATAATTTAGGGTCGGCTTTAGTATAACGTCCCACGCTTTCGGGGATAAAATGGGTATGGACGGATAGAGATCCTCCAGATCAAGAATATATATAAATATAGCCGCGGGAAACCTATGGTTTTCGAGATATTTCGGTTTAAAGTTCAAAATTTCGACTATTTAAAGTACGTATTTTTTCGTTATAGAATGAATTATACACTTATATTTTTAACTTTTACATCCACTAACACTTCACTAATTCGTTTTTACACATTTTTTTTGTTTTTATATCATAAAAAATAGCTTTATTTCAATATTTTAATTATTCTTAAATTTTTGTGATTTTCACAATAACAAGAAGGTTGTAAATGTCAAATAACCAGTGTTGCCATACTAATTTGTTTTGCAAACGAAGAAAAATAAAAAGAGATTATACCCTAAATACAGGAATCATAATTGTTGATGGACACTAATAAATCTTTTAGTTTTCTTCTTTTGATAAACCCAGGAGTTGGACCGACCAGGGTTATTTTTTTTGAAGCGCGGTCGAAGGCCGCCAACGCAAAAAGGTGTTCCACGCGAAAAGACCTTGGTACACTCCGGTGTTGGATCGACCAGGGTTATTTTTTTTGAAGCGCGGCCGAAGGCCGCCAAAGCAAAAAGGAGTCCTACGCGAAAAAGTAATATGGTCATAGAGGGTATAACATAATCCTTAACATCAATGCTCTCTAACGGATATTAATACTGTTACTTTTGAAGAAAAGTACCGTTTCGTTTTTTCCATTTGCTATTTACTTCATATTTGGCAAATAAAATTCAAACGCGTTTAGTGAGTTGTGCTTAAATTTTGGAAAAGATAAATTTTAAAAGTTATTATTTGAAAAATGAGTGGAATTTCAACTGGTAAGTTATTATACTTTTTAATATTTTTTTAAATATTTATTAATAAACATATTTAGATATTGATGAACAATCGACCAGCCGTGGCGTGATGCGTAGAACTAATGTTCTGACAGTGGCAGAATTGAAAGAAATGTGGAATGTGAGGAAGGTTTTCCAAACATTTGAAACAAAGGAGAGCTGCATAGCCTTTGCTGAAGAGCAAGGGCTCATATTAAAGAAAAGGCTTTGCAGGATGCATAAAATCCCGATGGTATTATCAATGGCGGGGACTAGTATCGTCGGCACATTTAGATGCCGAAAAGTATCGTGCCGTACGCGTTCAGCAATATCTAGGTCTAAGGGTACTTGGTTCGAAAACGCCAAAATACCCTTAAATCAGATATTTTACCTCATGTTTTGTTTTTCGTCGCACTGGTCGCATGAGGAGGTGCGAAAAAATAGCTTTGTCAGGGAACCGATTTTATCCAGCGCTACCATATGCGACTGGTATAACTACTGCCGCGAGGCTGTAGTATTATACCAAGTGGACCATCAGGAGAAGTTGGGTAAAATTAGTGGCCCTGGGAAAATAGTACAAATTGACGAAAGCAAATTTGGAAAGAGGAAATACAACAAAGGTAATATTAAAAATAAACAATAATACATAATTACTTATATATTTTTCTTATTTCAGGCAGGAGGGTGGAAGGTCACTGGGTGTTGGGAACGGTGGAAGATGGCATTGAGGACTTGCGGTTGGAGGTATGTCCTGACAATGTCAGGTCTGCTGAGGTGCTCATACCCCTGATCGAAAAACACGTTGCACCCGGCACAATCATTTGCACCGATTGTTGGAAGGCGTATGATTGCTTATCAACTCACGGGTATGAGCACCGTCGGGTAAACCATAGCGGGTAATGAAAAGATTTTTCTCAAAGGATAATTACAACAATCCAGAAAACTTTGCGAATCTTATCATTGAATATGTGTGGCGAAAAAATATTGCAAATAAGCATGAAGATCCTTTTGTGAAATTACTTGAAGCAATAATACACACTTACAAACCATAAAAAAAAATCTTTTTATTTTATTGAAATAATTTCTTAACTTTTTATTTTTCTAGGTTTTGGATTCCTGTAATTGGGGTATAATCTGTTTTCATTTCTTTCAGTTCACTTACAAAAGATGTCGATAAGGTAACACTGGTTATTTGACATTTACAACCATCTTGTTATTGTGAAAATCACAAAAATTTAAGAATAATTAAAATATTGAAATAAAGCTATTTTTTATGATATAAAAACAAAAAAAATGTGTAAAAACGAATAAGTGAAGTGTTAGTGGATGTAAAAGTTAAAAATATAAGTGTATAATTCATTCTATAACGAAAAAATACGTACTTTAAATAGTCGAAATTTTGAACTTTAAACCGAAGTATCTCGAAAACCATAGGTTTCCCGCGGCTATATCTATATATATTCTTGATCTGGAGGATCTCCTCTATCCGCCCATACCCATTTTATCCCCGAAAGCGTGGGACGTTATACTAAAGTTTTCCCATAATTTACCCTACCTTTTTTTTTAAGAATTAATAAAACTCAAATAAAATAAAAAATATATTTATTTACGTACTTTATATGACGGGAAATACCACTGCTCATTAATACTTCTCTTAAATCAGCATTGCGCTCTTAAGCTTTACACATGAGCCGCCATTTTATAAAATCGCACTTCACTTTTTCACTAGAAACAATCTGCTTTTATAACACAACACCTCACACATTTCACCATTTTCAACAATTGCCACAACACTTCTGAGCACCAATAATAACACTGCAACACTTTTCTAACATTTTTTTGCACTTTTACACTAATAAATACCGCACAATAATTCACTTTTCACACACGATGCCATAACACAACAATCGCAACCGACACCTGAGAGGCAACTGATAAGCTGCACGGACTTGCGCAGGAAAATTGCAATTCCTTCGAATTTTTAAGCTTCAGCAGTAAGCAAACTGCATTGCGCAAGGAATTTGTACTAATCAACGCGCAAAAGTATGCTATAAATGAGCAATATTTAGTACTAAATGTCTACTGCTAATTGCCTTGGCTAAAGTGGAGCGTGACTTTGCTAAGTAAAATATTTTTTGTGGAATTTGGAAGGTTTTGCTTTTTTGGTTCTGACGTCATACAAAGATCTCTTCATACGTCATATTATCTATCATACTTATGTTAGTAGTAGTGAATGAATGACCGTGAGACTAACACTATTTTGCGATTGCTGCTTTATTAATAAGTATGCTAGTTGAATATAAAAATTCAGAAGTTCATGCTCCACTAAAAAAATAGAATATATTTTCTATTTAGAAATACAATAGAAACTTATAATTGGTGACTGCACTAAATGGCCCCCCAATTTTTTTTCATTGATATATTGGAGTTCGATTTATATTTTTGTTCTAGTTGCATATAAGTATTTAGGGCGTATTCTAACCAAGATATTATATTATATATATATATATATTATATTAATATGTTTTATCATTTCATTATTTATATTTAAAGACTATAAAAAATAATTAAAAAACAAGAAAAAACGTTACCTTCGCGGTTGCACCGAAGCTATAATACGTTGCACAAATACAAAAGGTTGCTTAGAAGAACTTGATTCCGATCGTTTGGCTTGTATGATAGCAATATTTTTTCGGAGATTGTCGCGATTCATTGAGTTATAAGCTATGCCAAGTTTCGTGAAGATATCTCGTTTAATAAAAAAACTGTCCATGCTTTCTATGGATGGACAGAAAGATGTGGCTAAATTGACTCAACTCGCCACGCTGATCAATTATATATAAGTATACTTTCGGAGATCCTACACGTTTCCTTTTGGGTATTACAAACTTAATATACGTAATATACCCTGTTCAGGGTATAAAACCTTTGCATAAAATGGTGGTTACTCAAAAATAAAGATCGATTTTTAACAATACTGTACAATAAGCTACAGCTTTTTTGTTGGTTCATACGATAGAAAAGAAGATATTTAAAGAACATTCTCGCAAAACTTCCAGTAATTCAACTGGTTAGAGCTTAAGATATCATATAAGAGATTTCGAGAAAAATGGGTTTTAAATTTTCACTTAAGACTAAGCCGGACGAGTTGCCACGACACTAAAACGGCTATAACTTTGAACATTAGCGAAAGATATTTTTGAATATCAAAGCTATCGGTCGTTTACCCCGACGTGCTTCGTTAACAGAAAACTTTGTCCGTCCATTGTCATTAGTACTTAACTTAAAACAGCTTTAAGCTCAATCTAAGGATTCAGAGTGCGAGGCACAGTACTTAAATTTTTCTAAAGATGATCGCGTCTTATTCGAGTGTCTTTCTAACATGGAGAAGGTGGTTGGTTGGTTGTTTGAAAAGAGAGACACAGGAGCGCCAGACCGCAGGTGGCTGCATTCTCGGGTGGTAACCAAATTAAGCCTTATTCAACAATTTAGTGAATTTGGCAAAAAAATTTTTTTTTTTTTCCACCCCAGCTGCTTAATGTCTCTTATGTTACAGCAATGAGAGTCGTGGAATATATCCCGTCTCATCTGGCTGAAGACTGAACATTCACAAAGATAATATTGCAGCATCTTCAGCAAGTTCCAAGACCTTAACCCTTAACTTTAGGGTTCATTGCTTCAAAAAACCTTTGAAGGAGCTGAATGGTCTGGGGCATCTTGGGGGAATTGTGTACCTAGCTGCCCCTGGGCTTTGTCTTCCTTAAAAATTTGTCGGTTAAACCTTTTGTCGATTATTTAAAATTAATCCAAGCTATACACTGCGACTAGTAGTAAACTGTGTTCTCCCCTTTTTACAAGTTCCCATCTAAAGCCTAACAAATCGAAGGAATTTGCTTGAGGTCAGTGAGAGCAGGGAGGAATTTGTGAATCCTAGTCTACAAACATCTTATGAGTACATACAATGCGCACACCAAAAATGGAAGAAGAAGCTCGATAGCTATTAGGGGTATAAACGTCAATGATATGTGAAGAAAAATCCGGAGAGACACAATTCAATTCTTCTTGCCACCTTGAACCTTGTTCAACAAGTTGTATAAAAATATTAATATTCGGCGATATTGAAAACAGGAAATAAATGCAAAAACTGAATTTCCTGCTCAGCGCAAAAATTCAATTTGTGCAATTTCATTTGACAACGCGCAATGCTAGTTGAAACACCAAGCAAAATGAAGCGGTTGCATTGTGAGAAGAAGAAGAATGAGAAGTAAAGTTTTTAGAGAGAAAGCCATTGGCAAAGTGCAATAGAAACTTTGGGGCTTACACATACATATATAACGGCTACGAGCATGTACGTGGACCATATGTGGAGACGACGGAACTATATATATATATATCTAGACATACTCGTATATATGTATAGGAGTGTGTGCTAGAGCTTGCAACACGCGGTGGCATAAAAATAATTCTTGACTTGTGCCAGCGCACTTGTCGCTAATATTATTGTTGTTGTTGCTGGTTGCAAGTTTGCACTGCTGCAACCACGGCTAAATCGTTAGGAGAAAGCTGTCGCATGTCTTGAGGGACTTGAGGTTTTTGCCGTTTTGTTCGAGAAATTGCGAAGCACACATGATTTATGCGCTGTCAATAAATGAAGAAAATTTCGAGCACACGCACACACACACACACACTTACGAATATTATTTCACTTACATGTATATGTATATGTATTTCTATGCATTGTTACCTGTGGTTTGGCCCCAAGCGCCTCAGTTCAACGGATATCGCCACGCACCTCGCCTCCTTGCGGCGCTTTAGCCCCGTGCGCTGTGCAAAAAACTTTGCTACGGATTGTTTTCAGTCGAATGCATGCAATGCAATTTCATATTCATCAATAATAAATAAGTCGGAGTGTTACTGTGACCTCGTTGCGCGCATTGTTGCTGCTGCCGCTGGATGGTGGCAGTTTGTATGGATTGCTGTTTTTGTTGTCACAACAATATCAGCGATTTCAATCAAATTTGCGCTCATGACAGAGATACAGCACACTCAACAAAAGGACATTGCGAAAATAAGGAAGATTTGTTGTTTGCTTTCAGCTCGGCATAAAGATTTGTATTGTCAAAGTGAGTCATTTGTTGCATGCAACGGCTGCATAAATGCATTACCCCGCTGCATTTTTGAAGAGTCAAAGTGATTGAGCGTCTATGGCATAGCGCTGGTTTATCAAATTGTTTTATGCTGATGCAATATTTAGAGTGGATGGAGAGGGGTAGAAGGGTGGAAATTATACAAAGAAGTTGGAAAATATGCGAGTGCATGAACGGCTTTTTATGATTCATAATATTTTTTAACAGAAGATGTGATGTTGTTGTCAGAGGCAATTGTATTATTGCTAGATTTTTAAAAGGCTCTTCCAATTGGATTTGTTAGAATCTGAAAATATTGAACTTTAATAACTGTCAAGTTATATTTATCTCACAACTGAATTAGCGAAAACAAAAGTATGCGAATACTTTTATGCGATCGCTCTCTACAATATTTATCTCTCGCTTTTTTTTTATTTTTTATCTCTTTTTCTCTCCCTTTGGCTCCTTAGCTCTCTCTCTAACTACACCTCTCAGTTAGCGCTACTCCCTTTGGCTCCTTAGCTCTCTCTTTAACTACACCTCTCAGTTAGCGCTACTTGCTTTAAAATTGAAAACCGACCAAAATTTGGTCTACAAGTATCCAAGACACACAGCAGTTATAAGTTTATGAACTATCAATACTCACAGATCGTTATCGTTTTATAGGAACATCTATCCTGCAAAGTAAGGAATTTGGTTAAAGCTCGGTAACAAATCAACAGAATTTCAGTTCTTCTTTCAACTAACAGGTACGTATTCAAGGCGTGCAGAGTACCGAAGAAGACCCGAACGCCTTACAAAATCCAACTCGTGAAAGAATTGAATCCGAACGGCCATCAAGCGTTCTACGATGAAGTTCACTATTGCTCACCGCAAGTATTTTCCTGATAAAAAACATTTAAAAATTTTCTTAATTTCGCGACTTG